GCGTTGGGCCTCAGCCTCTTACCATCTGGGCGTACTGGAAGAAGCCGTGAGTTTTTACCAAAGGTGCTCCCCTCAGCAGCCGTGGCCACCTCTCCGCTGCCCAGCATGGCAGACCCAGGCAGCACCGGAGTACGAGGCCCAGACCTAGTTCCTTTGGTTGGAGCCTTTGGACTTGTGCCAGATTAATCTTTCTATTTTTCCCCAAATTCTGCCTTCCCGTCCCTGCTTTTATCAGACTTTGACCTCCTCCTCCTCCCTCCCTTCCTCCTCCTCCTCCTCCTCCTCCTCCTCCTCCTCCTACCTCCTCGTCATCCCTACCTCCCTCCTCCTACTCCTCCTCCTCCTCCTCCTCCTCCTTCTCCCCCTCCCCCCACACTTCTTTCTATTTAGGAAATCCCTTCCTGTTTCCCCAAGCTTTGGCCCTTGTGATGCACTCAGGGCAGCGCTCAACTGGAATTTGTTCCTCTTTCCCCAATTTGTAATAACCTCAGATGAAGAAATCCTGAGTAATAATAGTAATAATAACAACAACATAGTAATATCCAGAAAATATTGTCTCTTTTTAAACAGATATCAATTTCCTGATCTTACCCTTGTTAGAAATGCAAACTTTGCCTTGTTGAAAAAGAAAGCAGGATTCTCAGCAATTCTGAGTGATCAATTTAGTTAAACTTTTAACACCCATGCGGACAGAGTGCCTGCTGTGTATGAGGTACTGTGCTGAGGACATTCAGATAGTTTGTTCTTGTAGTCATGGAACCCTCTTGCAGTCTAGAGAGGACAAATCTCAAGTGTTGAGGGCCACCTTGGTGAAGTGTCCAAGCAAAGGCGGGGGCTTTCCTGGGGAGAACCACAGGAGCCCACCCGGGAGGTGGGGAAGCAGGTGGGCGTGTGCAGGAGGGCTGCTTGCAGGTCTTCAGCGGCACTGCTGTGGCAGGCGTCCCTGCCCTGACACAGCAGCTCTCATCCCATCTGAGTAGAAGGATCCCTTCTGTTGGAGAGGCCCTTTCTCTCCTTTCTGTTTTCTCTGGATAAGTTCCATTTTCCAGTTGTTTTCACTTCCCACAATGTGGGCATTCTCAGGCTAAAAAACCCCGAGGCAAGATCTGAGTCAATGATTCCTATAGGTTCTCTGATCCAATAGTACTAACCAGGTTTTTTTTTAAATTTTAGATTTCTTAAGTCATGTGAGTGCAAACGGGGCTGGGGCACACACCTTAAAGGGTTCAGTGGCCTTTTGTTTGGAATCAAGAACATACCCCTTTGGCTCAGAAGCCTCTTTTAAATTTCCAAAATTCAGTTTAGGAGTCTTAGGATAGTTTATGTAGCTGTGTTCCCTTTTTACTCTAGGGCAGTGGTTCTCAACCTTCTGGCCCTTTAAGTACAGTTCCTCATGTTGTGACCCAACCATAAAATTATTTTCGTTGCTACTTCATAACTGTAATGTTGCTACTGTCATGAATCGTAATGTAAATATCTGATATGCAGGATGGTCTTAGGCGACCGTTCGACCGCCAAAGGGGCCGCGACCCACAGGTTGAGAACCCCTGCTCTAGGGCGTGTAGCTCCCTCTAGTAAGAATATAGGAGGTGGGTGAGTATGTTTCAGGGAAGAGAAAGGTGAATTGGCAATGATGAAATAAATAATAAAAAATCTTTATTCTAAGCTTCCTTTTGTTCTGTAAGAACCATTGGCCAAATGTAAATATCAGTCTTTGTTGGACAGATCCCCAAAAGCAAGTTGAAGGATATAGTCTGTGCTTTCGTTGTTTTCATGTTCTGTGGTTCTAGAGTGGAAGGAGGAGGAAACAAAACTTCATAGCTCAATATGACTGGGGTGTGAGGGTAAAAAGATGCTTGCAGTAAAAGTGGGTATGCGAAACAAAGCACAGTTACCAAGGGACAATGATTTTATTTTATTTATTTATTTTTTAAATATATTTTATTGATTTTTTACAGAGAGGAAGGGAGAGAGATAGTTAGAAACATCGATGAGAGGGAAACATCGATCAGCTGCCTCCTGCACATCTCCTACTGGGGATGTGCCCGCAACCCAGGTACATGCCCTTGACCAGAATCGAACCTGGGACCTTTCAGTCCGCAGGCCGACGCTCTATCCACTGAGCCAAACCGGTTTCGGCGGGACAATGATTTTAAGTAATGTATTTGTACATAGCTCTTTCCAATATGTCAAGTGCTTATCCACGCAGAAGTCCTGTATGGCTACATTTGCCCCTTGCAATAGCCTGGGAGTTGGGGACCATGGGTGGTGCCACCACTGTGGAGAAGGGAAGTCACCTACTGTGATGGCATGGACCTACACAGCATTTTCATTCTCAGTTTTCCCACTCCTATGTGATGCTGTCCAAATACTTTTGTGATATTCTCATCAAATTGAGCCCTCGTAGGAAGAAGGCAATATCTTCACCAATAATATGAGTTTGTGTACCTTTGGAATTCAACATATCTGGACAGTACAAATTTGCATAAACCTTAAAATAGAAATCATTATCTTTAAAAACTTGAAAATGACAAATCAGGAAGCTTGTTGATCCTGAGCTCTGAAAATAAAGGTTATTGCTCTCTCTTCAGTGAGGACCCCGGAGCCCTAGGAGAAAGCAGTCCTCCTGGAATCACTGTGTGGGTAGCTTGTGCCATAGCAGGTGGTTAAGAAATGGCTTTGACTCCTGCTCCTGCCACTTACTGGCTGTGGGTCCTGAACAACTTTTAAATTCTCGAAGCTTCTGATTCCTCAAATGTAAACGGAGTGTTAACAGTATCAGACAAATATGGTTGTGAGGAATTTATGATACAGCACATATAAAAAGCTCATCTCAGGGCCTGGCCAGCAAATGGGAGTTGCTGCAGTTTATTATTATTATTATTATTATTATTATTATTATTATATAAAGGCACAGAACATTTTGTGTTCTAGACCCTACAGGCAACTGATGTGTTTGGAATCTCAATTATGCATCTTCCTGCTGTGAGACGATGAAGACCTTAGTTAAGCTCTTTCAGTCTTGGTTTCCTCATCTGTAAAATGGGAATAATAGGGCTACCTACCTCATAAGGTTATTACAAGAATTAAATATATATACTACCCAGAATATACATAAAGTTGTTTGCTAATAATGACACTTCTTTTCAAAAAAATCTCCCTAGCTTGGGTCCAACTGATTTCTGTGTTTGAAATTCATGGGAGACTTTTAGGAAATGCAATTTTAAAGATGGGATAAAGGACTATTTTCATGTTAAAAAGTATTGTAGTCCAGGGGACTCATTTATATGCACTGCACCCTCCGACTGCAGAAGTAAGCAGAGCTTTCTACTCTTTCCCCCAGTTGTCAGGCCCTTCCTGAAGTTGTGGTGAGTGGGTTAAGATTGCATTACAGTTTGGCGACTTCTTTCCTCCTGTGCACATTGGCTATATTTAGGCAGGTCTAGATGAGTTTAATATGTTGAATATTGCCTTGAGTCCAGTTGGTCCCAGAACAGCTGGCCATGTGAGCCAGAATGTGTCAATCCAACTTTACAGTTTTAGAGAAGAGAACATTCGGAAGGTGAGGCCGTGTATTCTGGCTGGGCTGAGCCTCCGTCTGGTTCCCACTCTCTCACTAGCTCGCAGGTGGCCACTCCACATGCAGAGCAGTGTGTTTCCTCTCAGCGGTTCATCCTCTTTACCTTCTTTGGATGCATATGATATAATTGGAATACTGATGTGTAATGAAGGTTCAGGAGTGATTATTTTCCAAAACGGAAGACCTTTGTATTTTTCTGATTATAAAAATAAATGTTGTTTTAGAAACCTTTAAATAATGTGAAAATTCAAGCAATGTAGAAAAGGCAAAAGTCCCACACACTCTCACCACACAGAAAACTACTATAAGCCTCTTAGCATATATCTTTCTAAATGTTTTTCTGTGTGTGTATGAGTACCTACCTATGGATGTTGAATTTTATGGATATCTTTTAGCAATATATGTAGATATCTTCTTTGCCAACAAATATACATCTGTATGATAATTTGTTTAAAGGTTGGAGAAGCACTAACACAGTGTTTTCTGTTTTTGTTTTTTCTAAGAATAGTTTATTGATTTTTAGAGAGAGGGGAAGGGAGAAGAGAGAAGTGAGAGCATAACATCAATCGGCTGCTTCCTACATGCCCCCCTCTGGGGATTGAGCCTGAAACCTGGGCATGTGCCCTAATGAGGAATCAATGCCCCATCAACTGAGCCACACCGGCCAGGGCTGTGTTGTAATTTTTAACTGGTAGATAGAATTCCACTTCATGGATGTACTGTAATTTATTTCAAACCAATCCTCTATTGATATTATATTGTTTCCAAGTTTTCAGGAAGTCTGAGTTTGACAATTGTCTTTACAGAAGGCCCCTGTGACTTAGATCCTAACACAGAGATGGAGATATCAAGCTCATCTTCTACCATCTCTGAGCAGCAGCTTTGGAGGCAAGAGGGACAGAGCAACACCAACACAGACGTGGCCAAGCAGAGTCTCATCTCATCCAAGGAATGGCTCCAACTACATGGGCTAAAGAGCAACAAATTGAACTTGAAACAGATTTTGTCACAAATTGGATTTCCACACTGTGAAGGTAGAGTACTCACAGAGCGATGCTGGCTGGAAAACCCAATTTAGCACGCTGCCTGGAAAACCACGGGTCTCTGAGCTTGTTTTGATCTCACTTCCTTGAGGGTAAAAAACGTTGGCACCCCCAATATATGAGTATTATATAGATGTACATTTGTTAATCTGCATACTAAATATTGGTAATGCTTAATTTCCTTCTTTCTTCTTTGAAAGGTGAAATGTAATTTTTTTGTATTTATCCCCTGGGATGTGCAAACCCCTTTTGGAGGGAGGTCAGTAGCGATGTGTAGTTTCAGGGAGAGGGTGCTGTTTTCCTGTGGTGGCCTTCCAATTTTTTTTCTAAATGCTTTTTCTAAATGCATTGGCTTGAATGTTGGTTATTAACTCCTACGAGTACTGCCCTCCAGCAGTGAGTATGGCAATGTATACTAGCCTTATGAAATTATTTGGAAATATTTACTCCTCTATGTTCTGATGTTGTTTGTATATATATATGATTGGCACTATTTCTTCTTTAATTGTTTGATAGAACTCAGCAGTGAAACTTATCTGAGCCTAGAGTTTTGTTTGTAGGAAAAGTTTGATAAGGAATTCAATTTCTGTAGTAGACATAGAGCTATTCATATTTCTGTTTCATCATGGTAATTTGGGAAGGTGTGTTTTTCAAGGAGTTTGTTCATTTTATCAGTGTGTTTTAAAAAAATATATTGTTAAAACACTGTTCATAATATTCCCTTAACATTTTTTTAATGCCTGTGGAGTCTGTAGAAATGTCACCTCTTTCACCATTGATATTGATCATTTGTGTTTCACTTTTTCAGGACAGGTTTTGTTAGTGGTATATCATAACTCTTTTCAAAGGACCAAATATGGGTTTTGTTGATTTTTTTTCTACTTTTTGTTTTCTATTTCATTTATATCGGCTTTGAGCTTTATTATTTATTTTCTTCTACTTTGAGTTTAACTTAAGGTAGAAACTTAGATAACTAATTGTAAGCCTTTTTTTCTCTTCTAATGTAGTCATTGAGAGTTATAAGTATTTCCTCAAGCACTGCTTTAGTTGAATCCCACAAATCTTGATAGGTATCCTTTTATTATGAGTGAGTTAAAAATATTTTCTTTTTTTCTTGTGACTTTTTTCTTTGATTCATTTTTTAAAAAGAAATGTATTGTTTGATTTCCAAATGTTTTAGGACTTTGAAAGATACCTTATTTTTGTTGGATTTCTAATTTAATTTTGTTGAGTTAGAGAACATAAGATTTTAGTCTTTGGAAATTTACTGAGATTTGTTTTATGGACCCTCATATGTCTTGATGAATATTTCATACACACTTGGAAAGAATGTGTATTCTGCAGTTTCTACATAATACTTGTAAATGTTAATTGAGCCAAGATTGTTGATAGTATGATAGAAGTATTCTGTATCTTTAGCGATTTTTTTGTCTAGTATATGTGTCCATTTCTCCTTTTAGTTTTATCAGTTTAGTTTGAAGCTCTAAATGCATATACATTGGGATTGTCATATCTTTCTGATGACATTTACTTTGTTTGATGTTAATATAATTACCACAGCTTTGTCATGCTTAGTTTTCACATGGCATGCATGTTTATAGTCTTTTACTCTCAAACTACCTGTAATCTCTCTCTGTGCCTCTTTAACCCAGTCTCCTGGTCTCTGTCTTGTAATTATAGTGTTTGTTTTGTTTTGTTTATTTTAATGTAATAATTGATATAGTTAAATTTAGGTTTCCCATTTTACTTTTTGTTTTCTATTTGTCCCATCTTTTTTACCCTTTGTTTCTCCTTTCCTGCCTTCTTTTGGGTAAACTGAATATTTTTTAGTATTTCATTTAATTCCATTTAAATTTCAATAGGCTTAGGTATACCTTTCTGCACTGTGCTTTCAGTGGTTATGGCTGTACTTTCAGTGGTTTGGGTGACTGATTGAAGCTCTTCCAGTGCTACCCCTCGATCGTCACACAGACCTCTGTCTCCCAGCATCCTTAACCCCTGGTGGCCACCAGTCTAAAAACCAATGGAGAAATATCCTCGAGTGAGGATTTAAAAAATGTTTATATAAATGCTATGACATCATATGTGAGCTTTGGAGATTGGCATTTTTTCACTTAATATTATTTCTTTGAAGTCCATCCAAGTTGTTGCATGTATCAGTAGTTTGTTTCTTTTTTAAAATATGTTTTTAATGATTTTAGAGAGGGAGGAAGGAAGAGGGAGAGGGAGAGAGAAACATAGGTGTGAGAGAGAAACACTGATTGGCTGCCTCACAAGGCATCCCTACCAGGGACTGAACCTGCAATCTGGGCATGTGCCCTGACCTTGAATCGAACCAGTGACCTTTTGACGCTCAGCCAAGTGAGCCACACTGGCCAGAGTGATAGTTTGTTTCTTTTTATTGCAGAGTAGTGTTCCATGGTATGGATGTACCATCAGTTAACCACTCACCCATTAAAAGACATTTGAGTAGTTTCCAGTTTGGGGCTATTACAAATAAAGCTATGAACAATTGTTTACAGGTTTTTGTATAGAACATCAGCTTTCATTTCTCTGGGATAAATGCCCAGGAATGCAATTGCAAGGTGGTATGTTAAGTATATGTTTTAATGTTTTGTTAAGAAACTGCCAAACTATTTTTCAAAATGGCTATACTACTCACATTAGTAATTATGAAAGATAGCTTTTCCCCTTTATAACAGCATTTAGTGTGTCAGCATCTAAAAATGTCAGCTATTCCAATAGTTGTGTAGTAATATTCGTTGTGGTTTTAATCTGTAATGCCCCAATGCCTAGTTTAGTTGAACATCTTTTCATGTGCTGATTTGCTCTTTATCATCTTTGGTAAAATAAATGTTTATGTCTTTTCATCATTTTCTAATTAGATCTTTTTAAATGTTGAGTTTTGAGAGTCTATTATATATTATATATTCTAGAAATGAATCCTTTGTCACATATGTGGTCTGTAGATATATTCTCTTAGTCTTTAGCTTTGTCTTTATCCAGAACTTCTGTTTCTCAGAGCAAAAGTTTTTAATTTTGATGAAGTCCCATTTGTTGACTATTTTCTTGTATGGATCTTGTTGAGTCTCAAAGAATTTCTCCTACTTTCCCGCCTAAAGTTTTATAGTTAACATCTTACTTTTAGCTCATGACCATTTGAGTTCATTTCTGTTTAAGAGTCATTATTTTGACCATGGATATCCAGTTGCTCCAGGATCATTTTAAAAAAAGACTATTCTTCCTCTTTTGAATTGCTTTTGCATTTTTGTTAACAATTTGTTGGTTGTACTTGTATGGGGCTATTTCTGGGTTTTCTGTTTTGTTCTATGCATCTGTGTGTCTATCTCTCCACTATTACCATAGTCTTAATTACTATAACTACATTATTACTATATATAATGTCTTGAAATTGGATAGACTGATTCCTTCTACTTTATTCTTTTTCAAAATTGTTTTAGCTACTCTAGTTCCGTTATCTTTTCTTTTAGATAACCATGTCTATGTCTACAAAAATATTGTTGGGATTTTGATAGGAATTGGATTAAACCTGTAATTTAAGGAGAATTGACATCTTAGACCTGAATATCTTTCCATTTATATATGCCTTTTGATTTCCTTCATTCAGGTGTTTTGTATTTTTGGTATATGTCCTACACATGTTTTGTTAGATTTGTACTAAATATTTCATTTTCTGAGCAATTGTAGGTGTGATACTGTATTTAAAATTTTTATTTCCATATGCTCATTGCTAGTATATACAGAAATATGCTTGATATTTTTGTATGTTGCTCTTATATCCTGTGAGCTTACCTAACTTATTAATTTTAAGAGGGTTTTGTTTGTTTGTTTGTTTTTTCTTTTTTTTTTCTGCTGTTGTTGACTCCTTCATATTTCTAGGTAGACCATGATGTCATCTCCAAACAGGGAAAGTTTTCATTCTTCATTTCCGATCTCTATGTCTTGCATTTTCTTCTCTTGCCTTGTGCTGGCTAGAGCTTCTAGAACTGTGTTGAATAACAGTAGTGAAGGTGGACATCCTTTTTTTTTATATATTTTTTTATTTTTTATTTTTATTTTTTGCTAAAAGTATTACAAAGGGTATTACATAAGTGTCCTTTTTTCCCCCCCGCCCTTGACAATCCCCTGCCCTCCCTTACCCCCCAGTGTCTTATGTCCATTAGTTATGCTTATATGCATGCATACAAGTCCTTCGGTTGATCTCTTACTCCCCTCCCTCCTGCCCCCCAACCCTCCCTGGCCTTCCCGCTGCAGTTTGACAATCAGTTTGAGGCAGCTCTGCCTCTGTATCTATTATTGTTCAAAAGTTTGTAATGGTCTTTATTATCCATGAATGAGTGAGATCATGTGGTATTTTTCCTTCATTGACGGGCTTGTTTCACTTAGCATAATGCTCTTCAGTTCCATCCATGCCGTTGCAAATGGTAAGAGTTCCTTCTTTTTTACAGCAGCACAATATTCCATCGTGTAGATGTACCACAGTTTTCTAATCCATTCATCTACTGATGGGCACTTAGGCTGTTTCCAGATCTTAGCTATGGTGAATTGTGCTACTATGAACATATGGGTGCACATATCCTTTCTGATTGGTGTTTCTGGTTTCTTGGGATATATTCCTAGAAGTGGGATCACAGGGTCAAATGGGAGTTCCATTTCCAGTTTTTTGAGGAAACTCCATACTGTCTTCCATAGTGGCTGCACCAGTCTGCATTCCCAGAAGGTGGACATCCTTACCTCACTTCAGATCTTAGGGGAAAGCTTTCAGTCTTTCACCATCAGCTATTTGTTAGCAGTAGGTTTAAAAAAAAATAAAGTTGAGGAAGGTCCCCTATATTCCTAGTTTTCTGAGAGTTTTTATCATGCATGCTTGTTGAAATTTGTCAATTGAAAGGATCTTTTGATTTTTCTCCCCTAGGATATTAATATGGTTGGTTATATTGACTGGTTTTTGAATATTTAATCAGCCTTGT